GTAGATTAGAGGTAGGGCCTCCTCATTGGAGCGTCCATTAAGAGGATGGGTAGACGAATGTTCCTGCAATATCAAGTCCTCCTTCTAGCGCCAAACTTTTAGGAAAAAAAGTCATTGACCTCTTAGTCAGCCCAACTTGGTCGATACCTATGTGCACAAAAATATCCGAGATGTTCGTGATAAAGGAATGTTGTACTTCAAAAAGAATCTGGGGTAACTCTAAGGTAAATCCTAGATCGATTCAAGATGGATCCAATGTGGCTCTGAGATAACTTTCAAGTTAGATCTTAGATAGCTTTCGAGTTAGATCCAAGATAACTCACAAGATTAAAATATTTCACTCCTTGAAGTATCACATGCATAAAGACTAAGGTTGAGAAGATTTTTCAACTTGATCCCTCTGACACTCAAGTTAAATGTATATAAGCGTAATTTTTCTCAAAGATTTGTGTTTCTCCTTATTTAGGGTACACATTTATATCGTGTATGACTGAGCTTACATTGCTTATGTACGTTGTCATTACTCCCAATTTGCAGATGCCAAGTTCAACTGCAGATGCCAAGTTAGACATTTCCAGCATTTCTTCCGGAGCAATCTTCATGGTGAACTCACGCAGCTCCTTCTCACCCGTCTGCTAAATCTGCGGCGTGACAGCACCACATGGGAGCCGTCATTTCGGCGACAATGCTGCGGCATCTTCAAAGTCAATGCAGACTTCACTCCCTTGGGTTGTGCTGCCTCAAACCGAAACCAGACTCTTCGGCACAAGATACGTTTGTGATAGCAATCAGCAGTTGAACTGCTTATCATCATGAGAACGAAGCCATGCTGACTTCTTCCTTTCTCAGTATGCAGAATTGACACCAAGCTATGGATCTTGTCTTCGTTGCTTCCGGTCTCCAAAAGTATGTGTTCATGTATGTGGTTAAGATAAGATCCTTAGCAGCAGCAAGAGGTGACTTGACTGGTTTGTAGGCAAGATTTATGGTTTGTGCACTGGAAGACAAAACGTTCAGGTTGTAGGATGAGGTCATGTTTGCTATCTTTCTTCCTCTCACCTCTAGTCTGCATTGTCCCTTTCTCAGGGGGAGAAGGAAGCTCATTTCAAGCTAACACCCAAGTTGCCTTACAGTTGACAAGGACCATGAAACAAGCATCCTTGCATCCATGGATGCAGAAGGTTACAGTGAAGATGCATACTTTAACAGTGTCTTGTAACTTATTTCTGGCCACTTGTGTTGGTGCATAAACTTGTTCCAATCCTCAAAATCTCAATCACTAAAAAATCATAATTTAAAAATCAGAAACAAAGAATCTAAATTAAATTTGGTTGTTGAGAGAAGTTTTTTTTTTTTTAAAGAAGTTCATATTTAATGCAATGTTTTTTATATATTCATAGCATTTATATTAGGTGTCATGATGAGATATGGTGTTACAGCTTATCTTTCTCCCAATCCCTTCATCCTCAATTATCATATGTAATCCTTTTACCTAGATTGATTGATTTTCTTACCTCATTGTCAATCAAAATGTAAAAATAATAATATTTACCAACCAACATAATTTTCTATTTATATATGTATCACATCATAAAATTATATATGACAATATTATTATTATTATTATTATTATTATTATTATTATTATTATTATTATTATTATTATTATTATTATTATGTTATAAAAGGTAAATGATGAAGGTTAAAATTTTATATGTATACTTCATATAGTTAAAGCTCTTTTATTTTAACTTTATTTTGCACCCTTGTAACCTCACATTTCTAGTCCTGATATGAAATATAATTGAAACATGTTATGTGTTACCAACTCACTCTGGTTTATGTCATTAGGTCACACATCAACATGAACTCTTGTCAGATCATAAATTCAGCTCAAATTCCAGTGGATTAACTAATAAAAATTTCTGGTAGTACACATGTATCATGATTTATAAAAGAATGAGATGGTAAATGATGATATCATGCAAAATTGTGAATGACAATTAAGCCAAGAAAGGAACATTGTTCTTTTACTCACAGGTATGATTTGGTGGCTTGTGACTTTGGGGTATACCGATTAACCAAGGAACAAAAAACCACACTTAGAGGCCAATATTTCCTATGGTTGACGGAAATGTTACTTCTTTGACTTTAACATCTCAAATTAATGCCGCCTTCATCTCCGCTTTTAACTCCACTCATCTAAATTTGTCACAGTGCATGACGAGGTTTGATGCCTTTCTTATCAACCAGTTCGTGCCACTCAAACTCGATTAGCTCTTCCAACAAGAATGCAGAACCCAATCAGATGACTTGCAAGCTAAACCCGAGTTCAAGAATGGCAGCAGCAGTTGCCATCGAGATCTTGATTGCAGCAACCGAAATGGTCTCACCGTGTTCCTACCTCGGTTGACTTTCAACACCAAGTGCACATGGTATTCTTGGATTTCTTCTCCCTTGACGGATCGAAGAACCCGTTTTCTAGTGCCTACTTGTCTTCTAAAAATGCCAAACCCAAGAATCCAAAAGCAGAAATGCTAATAAAATACAGCATTCTCTCACATGCATACACCTGAGGGAGTGTTCCCTCGGAAATCTCGGGCTGTGTTTGCTTCGTCCTTCATCCTTCAGCCACCAACACAAACACCTTCACACGAACCCTATAAATATCAGCAGTCCATTCATCAAGCTCTCAAACACCTCCACCGAGTGTATTGGTTTCAGTAGAGGCTGCGGTGCTTTCATGGCTCAGCTCAGGAGCTTCATCGTTCTCCTCCTCGTGGTCGTCTTCGACGACCTTGTGTCGTATGGGGAAGCAGCATACAACATTGCCGATTACGGCGCCAAGTCAGATGGC